CCCCAAAACCCCAAAACCCCATTTAACTGAATTGAGTTATGAAATAAAGAATTAGTTAAATAGTATTGAGATCAATTCATGAACATCTGATTGTAAATCAAAGCAATTTATTCATTATCTTGGCGAGTATTCTTTCTTTGAAAGTAAGTGGGTCTTCATCAAATTTGGTTATATGTTCTATAGAAACTTCTTTGCTCTTTGAGAAAAGATGATCACTTTCAATCTTCAGCTTATGCCTGAATTCCTCAGAGTCACTTAGTATGTACAATTAACATTCTGTGTCTCTTCTGTTTGATCTGTTGCTATAATTTGAACTGCCAATGATAGTCATTACAGGATTATTTGATTCCTCTTATTCATAGAACCAAGCACCTTTAGCATGATATGTCCATTCACCACTTTCCCATTCAAATATCTTGATGTTTTTGCTTTTTGAGTTCTCTTACAGTATTTATAGCTCCTTAGCTCTATACATGCCTGGTATAAATTTCTTGAATCTTCCTGCTTTATAAAATCCGTTAGCCCTTGGAGATGATGTTAGCAAATCAGTTTTAAGATTCTTATTCTAATTTAACAAATTCTTTATTTCTTTTTAAAGATTAAGATAGCCTGTAGCTAATTGCAGTCTATCAAACTTGTTTTCTTATTAACTGTAGAATTTCAATAACTCCATAAAAAGCTCTTCATCCTCTTTATAATTTATGACATTCATCTACAAAGTTGGGAAAATAAATACTCGGCCTGATCCTTCCTGATCTTATTCTTGCTTTTTATTGATTTAAACTATCTTATCTAGAATATATTCATCTGAAAATGAACTATTTTCAATCAGTACCTACTCCTCGCCAGCTAATGAATCATTATTGTGCTGTTTAATCTTATTTTAATGACTTTCAGTTTTAAATTCAGTCTCATCTTAATTCTTAAATGGCTTTCCGATTCCCTTTTGGTCAATTAGAAGCACATCTTCATCATTCATATTTTATGGCTTTACTTCAGAGAAATAATCCTCAATTTTAAGATCCTATTGTTGTAAATATTGAATTCGATAGCATTACCTCCTATGTTGATATTTAGGTCCTGTGTTAAAACCTCAGGAATCTCAAATGGTGACTCATCTAATTCTTAAACTTTTTAGGTTGTTTATTAGGTTCAGGATATTGCGGAAGCATCTTAAGCATTCCGTCCACATTTAGATTATATGAGCAATCAGTCACTATATATGTATTCATGAAGCTTAATTTTAATTACAAATGCTGATTAGGTCATCAAAATAATTTGCAAGTGGCTCGCAATTTTCAATAATGTAATATCTATCTTGCCGATCAGTGAAATAATCTTCGCTCAAGTTAGCCCTAATATAAATCAGTGGCTTTTAATAATATACCCAGTGATTAGGACATTATGATCAAAGACATGAGCTTTGATGTGATGCACTCCAAATATCTCTCTCAAAGGACCTTAAGAGTGCTTTCCTTAGAATAACCCAGTATCTGGATGATGCCAAAATCCTATCCTCAAATTTCTATTTACATGTTTCTCAACCATTGGTCTCAGGAATGACATGGAACTTTGGTTATCTTTATTGTTAACTCTCGTTCCTCTCATATAGTCTAATATGATATTTAGCTTTATCTATTAGTTTGTGTCAAGCTTGTTATCCAACTTCTCAATAAGATATTTCTCTAACTTTCCTGTTCCTAAATACAAAGCACTCATGCAAATTCTCTTTTCACTTTACTTCGCTAGTTTCTATGTATCTTATTATCATTATTCAGAGTTACATGAAGAGCAAGGTAATAGTCTACTGGATCCTTTAGAATTTGTATTTAGCTAGATCTAACTTCGAAACATGGTCCTTTTCTTTCTTTGATCAAGTTTTAAAACAAGAATTGCTAAGCTTTGCTGAATTTCATTTTTAGCCGTAAACTAATCTTATTATTATTTTGACTTTGATTTTAAATTAAATAAGTTATTCATAGGACTCAGTATAATTTTATTTTTATTATGGCAGAATCACCAAACACTAAAAGTCCTACAGGCCGTCTGAGAGTCGGCAAGATCGGTACTTCAAACCTTGTTAATCAAGAAACCATTATGAAAAGTCTGGCAGTTTCCCTAGCTTCTAGAGTTTCAGGTACTTAAATGAATAAATATTTACATTGAATAGGATCAATCTAAGAATCTTTTATCAATTAGAAGAACTCACCTGAGCTATTTCAAGGGAGTTACTCTGAAAGAATATCGAATTTGCAAACTAAAATCAATTCTCAAATTACTGACTTAGACAACAGGCTAGATTCCATCCTAGAAAAGCATGAAAAAGATTTTCTGACTGCTTATAGGGTATAATTTATCTTTGATGCTGATGCTAATACTATATCTATAGTATCATATGTTGAAAGTACAAAAAGAACTTGTAACAATGAAACAAAAGGCTAATGAGAATGAGTTAAAGACTCAATAAGAATCTAGAATAAATGATCTTGAGAAGGAAACCAACAAATACAGGTCCCTCTGTGTTCAATTAAGGTAAAAGTGTGATCAATAAGAAAAGAGACTTGGTATGAAATATTATAAAAATACAAATAAATTATTTTAGAACAGCTGAGATAATTTATTGATGAGCTAGAGGATGATAGAAAATTCCTGGACTATGAAATCAGAGACTCGAGATTATAAAACAAGATGCTCAAGATAACTCTTTCTAAGTAGCATAACCAGTGTGAAGAGATAAACATTCTAAATCAAACTACTAGAGAAGAGATTTCAGAGTTCAACAATCTGCATCTAAGTAACGTCAACAAAAGTCACTTTGTTCAATAGAGAACCTAAAATATCCTTGATATCCAAGATCAGCAGCAATTGATATAGACTACTAGACAGTTCGAGAAAAGTAAGGAAAATCAATAGCAGCATTAGATGTCAATGTTCTAGGATAAGGCGACCACTGACATGACAACAACTAGAAACTTTAATCCAGGTCACAACATCTCCTATTAAACTCAGCAGTAAGCTCTGGAATAGGTAAACTTTAATGGAAGTCCCAAAAAGAATCTATTTCAAGAGGGATCTGTAGTAGAAGAAGAAGACGAGGAAACAATACAATAAAATTAATAGACAATCAAGCAGGTTAACTCGGGGATTATGCAATCTACCAATAATAACAATAACAATATGTTTACTACCTTTATGAATAAGCCTAACACCCACCTTGATGCTTAAGAAACTCTTCAAGACTAGCAGACTAATGATGAGGGACTCATGAACTTTTAAGATCAAGACTCTCTAAACTAGGAAAATCTTATAATGCAAAACAGTCTTTAGAATGATTAGTAGAAGAAGCTTAAATACATGTCAAGAATTACACATGGCTTTAAAGAGGGAGCAGGCCCAAGTGATATGAAAAAGACTTTCTTATATAATGCCAAGTTCACTCAGTAATTATTTGACATTATTGAAGCTACAAACAAGGATAACAAGCCTACTGCTTACATGGTTGAATAAGTAAGCTTTACTTGATCCTTATTAATTTCTATAGCTATTCAAAGACAATGCTCAAAGAAGGGAAGATATGATACAAAATCTGAGAGATAAACTGGAGAGATAAAAGTAAATCAACTAAATGAAGGAAATACAAGTCAGATAGTAAAAGCAGTTAGTTTCTTAGAAGAAGGAATCTGAGATATTAGTAAAAACATTTAAAAATTGCATTGAGGCTGTAATTCTTGACAAAAAGGATAGACTTAATTTAAACAATCTTACTAAAGAGGATCTATACTCCTCAGATAAGAAGAGAACGCTAGAACTATTCGTGGAAAACGATAATACTCTGAGTCATCTTTTGGAATTTATTTCAGGTAAACTCATAGACTAAGATCACTCTGCACCATAATCAGAGACCTCTTCTTAAAAAGAATCACAGTAGTCAAACTAAAACAGAAGACCACATTACATACTAAATAATATGAATTAAAAGAGAAACATAGCTAATTCTCAACTTTCAGGTACCGGAGAAATTAAAGGCTAAGATGTAAATAAAAATCTAAACAATATACAGCAGAATTAGTCAACGATTAATCACTATAACTTGCATATTCCTGTGAAATCATTTTCTACTGAACTATAGTCTTCACTGTATTATTCTTAGCACCAACATAATAGACTCAAATAAATGAATATAAGCCAGCCTACAGAGTATGATGGGGAGTATCAAGCAATTGCTTCTAAAAATATTGATCCGTTAATGATGACTAGTAGTTAAAGGGATTCCACAAATAGAAATTAATTGATGGATCAGACTCATAATATAACATCAAGGGCTACTTTAAGATTGGCTGGTTAAGCATCCATTAGTAAAAGTTCTAATAGGTCAGTTACTTCTTCCTAAAAAATAATGTGATAAACCAATTATTTTATCTCAGTAAAATATTAAAACTTATAATAATCTTAATTTCTTAAATGGGTCAAAAATTGAACTCAATATTTGCATATTTTTATCGTCGTAATAATGAATAAGAACTCCCACTACAATGAGAATAAATATACTTGACTGGTAGCAGTGAAAACTTAAGAAAAATTAGATTCGATGATTCCGGTCTCTATGTTATTAAATAAGCTAAGCAATACGAAGTAGACATTTATGAATGCATTTTCAATGATAATTGATTGCCTCAAGATGAAGTTGACTCTTCTTGGATAGAGTTCTATCACGGTTTAAGGCAGTTTGTTCCAGCCTACTATGAATCAAAACTCTATGACTATGATAAGGCATGATTTGATGTGAAATTAGAAAATCTTCTAAATATTTCAAAAGACTATAATTCTGAAACAGTCCTTTACAAAACATTTTCTAATAATGATATAGTCAGATATAAGGAGTAAATCAAAACAGAGATCAAGCAGCCATCGTATTTAGATCTGAAAATGGGTACTAATTGTGTTCTGAGATCAAGAAAAAGTAAAAAATATCATCATTTCTAGAATATTGACTTAAATACTACCACAGTGGACTATGGGTTTAGGTTAAATGGTTATTGCATTTAAGATAATGAAGAAGTAATAGAGCATGTTAATGAAAATTATGATAAAACAAGGACTTATGAGCAAGTAAAAGAAATTTTTATTAAGTTATTGAGATCTTAATTTGGAACAGCTATAGGAGCTAAGTATCTTAAACAATTGGTGTATGATATTGAAGAACTTTAGTTATTTTTATAAGAGAAAGGCAGAGCTAAAATACTTGGAAGTAGTTTATTCTTTACCTTTGCTAGAGACTACTATGAGTAAGCTGAGATTTTCGATAATAAGTTACACATTGTGAGAGTTAAATTGATTGATCTTTGCCATGTAGAGCATTTGGAAGATTTAGATGATAAAGATGATGGTTTTTTAAAAGGCACCTTTGAGTTACTAAGGCTCTTAAATGAGATTTAATGTGAATTTTATCTTAATTGATTTCTAAATTCAAATACTAATCTATTTTACTTTCACGGGGTTTTGGGGTTTTGGGGTTTTGGGG